CATCCATCCATCATCCATCCATCATCCATCCATCCATCATCCATCCATCCCTCCATCCATCCATCCCTCCATCCATCCATCCATCCACTCATCCATCCTCCATCCATCCATCATCCATCCATCCATCCATCCTCCATCCATCCATCCATCCATCCATCCCTCCATCCATCCATCATCCATCCATCATCCATCCATCCATCATCCATCCATCCCTCCATCCATCCATCCCTCCATCCATCCATCCATCCACTCATCCCTCCATCCATCCATCATCCATCCATCCATCCATCCATCCACTCATCCATCCATCCATCATCCATCCATCCCTCCATCCATCCATCCATCCACTCATCCATCCTCCATCCATCCATCCATTCATCCATCCATCATCTCTCCATCCATCCCTCCATCCATCATGGCCCTCATCTCTGACCTCGTGTTTCTCTGGGAGAAGCTTCATCAGCTGCTTCAGGATTTCCACATCAAACTTGGATCGGTCTCCTTTCTGGATCCGGGAAACAAACTCCTCAGTGGAACTTCAGGTGTGAGAGAGGATGAGGATGTTACATCAGCAGGTAGGTGAGGAAGGACGCTTGAAAAGGTGCTTCCATTAGAACACAGAAAAGGACTGAAAGCATTTAGTCAAAGACCAGCAGAGAGTTTATTCCACTTAAAGGAGAAGTCGCTCATATTTAGAATTCAAACTTCTGAAAGTTCTTTAAATCTGAAATGATTCCATCCTGTTCAATAAATGATCAGTGTTTTTAATTCAGAGTAATTTTCATGTGAATGTGCTTTACTGGAGGCATCCATGTTTGTCAAAGAACACTACTGCCACCTACTGGTTAGTGACATTGTCACGGTGCGGTATCGGCTGTTGATCAAGTCCCAGTGCTGTATCTGGTGTTTGTCACAACGCGCTATTATCCAAGTCATCTTGAAAACATTCTTCTTCCAAATGTTGGCTACATATTACGGGTTTTTTCTCTGGCCAGAAGTTCGATGGCAAATCCTCCCTCTTCAAGTTGGCGATCCAACGACCAACCCGTCCGTGGAGGATCAGGAATCAGAAAGGTGGAATAACTCTTTTTTCCACTTTTACCCGATGTATTCCAGCATCCAGCTGCCATGCACGTGGGCATTGTCAGTTTCACTATAGCTCTGGTGAATTTCAATGGTGAAGTCCTCTGGAAATCTTCAATAATTGTTGTTGATTGCAGATGTGTCTAGTAGTTCCCATTGATTTAGCTTGGAAAGCGGGGAGAATGGCGCTAGGCTTACCGCACCGTGACGTCACTGCTGGAAGATGGCAGGAGGGAGGGGCTACTACACTACCGTTCAAAAGTTTGGGCTCACATTGAAATGTCCTTATTTTTTAAGGTAAAGCTCTGTACTTTTCAATGAAGATAACTTTAAAGAAATACACTCTATCCATTGCTAATGTGGTAAATTACTATTCTAGCTGCAAATGTCTGATTTTTGGTGCAATATCTACATGGGTGTATAGAGGCCCATTTCCAGCAACTATCACTCCAGTGTTCTAATGGTACAATGTGTTTGCTCATTGGCTCAGAAGGCTAATTGATGATTAGAAAACCCTTGTGCAATCATGTTCACACATCTGAAAACAGTTTCAATCTGCTCAAAGGAAGCTCAGTTTTGTAGCTTTTATAACAAGTTAGTTTCTGGAGCATCACATTTGTGGGGTCAATTAAACGCTCAACATGGCCAGAAAAAGAGAACTTCCATCTGAAACTCGACAGTCTATTCAGGTTCTTAGAAATGAAGGCTATTCCATGTGAGAAATTGAGGATTTCCTCCAACGGTGTGTACTACTCCATTCAAAGGACAGCACAAACAGGCTCTAACCATAGAAGAAAAAGAAGTGGGAGGCCGCGTTGCACAACTGAGCAAGAAGATAAGTACATTAGAGTCTCTAGTTTGAGAAACAGACGCCTCACAGGTCCCCAACTGGCATCTTCATTAAATAGTACCCGAAAAACACCAGTGTCAACATCTACAGTGAAGAGGCGGCTGCGGGATTCTGGGCTTCAGGGCAGAGTGGCAAAGAAAAAGCCATATCTGAGACTGGCCAATAAAAGAAAAAGATTAAGATGGGCAAAGGAACACAGACATTGGACAGAGGAAGACTGGAACAAAGTGTTGTGGATGGATGAATCCAAGTTTGAGGTGTTTGGATCACAAAGAAGAACGTTTGTGAGACGCAGAACAAATGAAAAGATGCTGGAAGAATGCCTGACGCCATCTGTTAAGCACGGTGGAGGTAATGTGATGCTCTGGGGTTGCTTTGGTGCTGGTAAGGTGGGAGATTTGTACAGGGTAAAAGGGATTCTGAATAAGGAAGGCTATCACTCCATTTTGCAATGCCATGCCATACCCAGTGGACAGCGCTGGATTGGAGCCAATTTCATCCTACAACAGGACAATGACCCTAAACACACCTCCAAATTGTGCAGAACTATTTAGAGCAGAAGCAGGCAGCTGGTATTCTATCAGTAATGGAGTGGCCAGCGCAGTCACCAGATCTGAACCCCATTGAGCTGCTGTGGGAGCAGATTGACCGTATGGGACGCAGGAAGTGCCCATCCAACCAATCCAACTGGTGGGAGGAGCTTCTGGAAGCGTGGGGTGCAATTTCTCCAGATTACCTCAACAAATTAACAGCTAGAATGCCAAAGGTCTGCAATGCTGGAATTGCTGCAAAAGGAGGATTCTTTGACCAAAGCAAAGTTTGATGTAAAAAAAATATTATTTCAAATACAAATCATTATTTCGAACCTTATCAATGTCTAAACTCCATTTTCTATTCATTTCACAACGTATGGTGGTGAATAAGTGTGACTTTTCAGGAAAACACTAAATTGTTTGGGTGACCTCAAACTTTTGAACGGTAGTGTATATTTGGGCAAAAATGGCCACTCCCAGACTCAGTGATTCATTTTATTATTTTACTGATTAACGCTAAATTCATTAAATCATGGTGAACGTATTAGTTTTAGGAATAAATAATGATCTATTGATTATTCCTGGCTGACCGGACTTCTCCTTTAATAGGAGCCTTCCTATTGGTCAGAAGGTTCACCATTTGAACTGCTTGAGGAAGATGTTGAGGTTCAGGCTCTTCTTGGCATCAATGAAGGAAATCTGTAGAAACAACAAATGACAGACGGTCAGAAAATATCAGAGAATAAAATCCTCTCACTGACGGGTTTCCCAGGCACCTCTTTGGTCTCCATTTTGGTTTTGGTTCTGCTTTTTGTTTCCGTCTGAGGGAGACTAAAGAGCTGCTCGATGCTGCAATAATCTGGTTCCACTGAGTCAGACGAAGACGTCCACAGAGACTGATGATCTGCAGACAGACAGACAGAACGGCATGGAGTCCAGAACCACACCTAGATCCAGATCACTTAGAGAGGAGCTGAGAGAATGTCTACATGCTCACCGGTGACCACTCTGGAGGGGAGCTTCTGCCAGTTCAACTTCTTCATCCTCAGGGTAGGACAGGGGGCGGGGCTGAAGTGGTGGGCGGGGCTGGGAAAGGAGCCACCTAGAACTCCAACTGTCTGCGCTGCAATCAATCCCCCAGGAGGGGGAGGAGGAGGGGGAGCCCCCATCCCGGGTAAAGGGGGAGGAGGGGGAGGAGCCCCCATCCCGGGCAAAGGGGGAGGAGGAGGGGGAGCCCCCATCCCGGGTAAAGGGGGAGGAGGAGGGGGAGGAGCCCCCATCCCGGGTAAAGGGGGAGGAGGGGGAGGAGCCCCCATCCCGGGCAAAGGGGGAGGAGGAGGGGGAGCCCCCATCCCGGGTAAAGGGGGAGGAGGAGGGGGAGGAGCCCCCATCCCGGGCAAAGGGGGAGGAGGGGGAGGGGGAAGAAGACGCGGGGCCCCCATCCCAGGTAAAAGGGGGGGAGGAGGGGGGGGGAGGAGGGGGTGGAGGGGGGGGGAGAAGCTGTGGCAGGGGGCGGACCATGTTTTGGAGCTGCTGAGGCTTCTGATTGGCCAGGAGTAACGCTGAGGGGTTGGGTCTGCACCGCTCTGTCCACAGTCCTAATCTTTTGATTGGATGAGAGAGATTTTGGGAGGAGCCTATCCAGCAGAGAGTCACCAGGGCCTAAATCAACTAGAAACCACCAAAGAACACAGAATTAGATGCAGCGTCCCAATAAAGACTGGAGATGAAGTCAGATTATCTGCTTTTAATCTAAGTCTTCAAACGGCGGATTGTCTTTGAAAATGAAGGATGAGAACCTTTGAATTTTACGGTTATCTCTGATCTTATGGTGCTCTGTCTATCTGTCTCATGTCAAAGAGCCACCATTACAGACAAGTTATTCTTTTTTACTCTGCAGTATTTTATTTTTAAAGTCATGAAGATTTTACCTGTCTCATAAGATTTATGTTTGTGTACAAATGTAGCGGCGGCCTTCATACCCTGACATCCTCTGCAAACTAAAAATAAAAGGAAGCAGGTTATTTTTTCACACACAATGCGCTTCGGACCCCAAACCGGACTCACCATCCTGGGCCAGCAGCACGGCTCGATCCGTCAGCGTCTCCAGAGCCGACCAGACGTCGGCCCTTTCTGGGTCCACCGTCCACAAGGCCTGAAGGATGGACAGCAGCTGGACCGAGGACGGACAGCTGGACACCTGTCCTCACAGACATGGAAAAGCCCAGTGAGACAAACTCCACAGTGTTTAACCAGTGGACCAGTGCGACTGAATGGAAAATCCTCTAACTTTCTAAAACTCTGCCTTTTCTATTTTCCTGGATCAGTTTCCGAAGAAGAACCAGGTGGACGGAATAGAAACAAAATGGCCGACACCACGCCTAGAAATCTGCTGGGAGATGTAGTTCTTCAGTAAAGGTGGAGCAAATAGGGAATAATGATAAAGGTTTCCAGGGGTGGTTCATGATTCTGGTGTTCTTTGATCAGTAGACTGATGGAGAACAGAGATAAAAGCAAAACTCCAGTAATTAAGAGCTCATTGGGTTCGGCTGAGATGCTGTTTGGTTGTGGAACCGTTATACAGCTGTGACTCAGTCACTGAGTCAGTGCATTTCTGGAAATGGTCACAGAGTCATGGTATTTCTCGACCCGGTCACTGAGTCAGTGCATTTTTGGAACCGGTCACTGAGTCAGGGCACTTCTGGACACGGTCATGGAATCAGTGCATTTTTGGAACAGGTCACTGACTCAGGGCACTTCTGGACACGGTCATGGAATCAGGGCGTTTCTGGACCCGGTCATGGAATCAGGGCGTTTCTGGACCCGGTCATAGAGTCAGGGCGTTTCTGGACACGGTCACTGACTCAGGGCATTTCTCGACCCGGTCACGGAGTCAGGGCATTTCTCGACCCGGTCACAGAGTCAGGGCGTTTCTGGACCCGGTCACAGAGTCAGGGCGTTTCTGGACCCGGTCACAGAGTCAGGGCGTTTCTGGACCCGGTCACAGAGTCAGGGCGTTTCTGGACCCGGTCACAGAGTCAGGGCGTTTCTGGACCCGGTCACAGAGTCAGGGCGTTTCTGGACCCGGTCATAGAGTCAGGGCGTTTCTGGACCCGGTCACAGAGTCAGGGCGTTTCTGGACCCGGTCACAGAGTAAGGGCACTTCTGGACCCGGTCACAGAGTCAGGGCACTTCTGGAACCGGTCACGGAGTCAGGGCGTTTCTTGAACCGGTCATGGAGTCAGGGCACTTCTGGAACCGGTCACGGAGTCAGGGCGTTTCTGGAACCGGTCACGGAGTCAGGGCATTTCTGGAACCGGTCACGGAGTCAGGGCATTTCTGGAACCGGTCATGGAGTCAGGGCATTTCTGGAACCGGTCATGGAGTCAGGGCATTTCTGGAACCGGTCACGGAGTCAGGGCATTTCTGGAACCGGTCACGGAGTCAGGGCGTTTCTCGAACCGGTCATGGAGTCAGGGCGTTTCTGGACACGGTCACAGAGTCAGGGCGTTTCTGGACACTGTCACGGAGTCAGGGCATTTCTGGAACCGGTCACGGAGTCAGGGCGTTTCTGGACACGGTCACTGAGTCAGGGCGTTTCTGGACACTGTCACGGAGTCAGGGCATTTCTGGACCCGGTCATGGAGTCAGGGCATTTCTGGAACCGTTCACAAAGTCAGTGCATTTCTGGACCCGGTCACAGAGTCAGGTATTTCTGGAACCGGTCATGGAGTCAGGGCATTTCTGGACCTGGTCACTGAGTCAGGGCGTTTCTCGACCCGATCACGGATTCAGGGTATTTCTGGAACCGGTCACGGAGTCAGGGCATTTCTCGACCCGGTCACTGTATTTCTGGAACCGGTCATGGAGTCAGGGCACTTCTCGACCCGGTCACGGCATTTCTGGAACCGGTCATGGAGTCAGGGCATTTCTGGACCCGGTCACGGAGTCAGGGCATTTCTGGACCTGGTCACTGAGTCAGGGCGTTTCTGGACACGGTCACTGAGTCAGGGCATTTCTGGACACGGTCACTGAGTGAGGGCGTTTCTCGACCAGGTCACGGAGTCAGGGTATTTCTGGAACTGGTCACGGAGTCAGGGCATTTCTCGACCCGGTCACGGTATTTCTGGAACCGGTCATGGAGTCAGGGCATTTCTCGACCCGGTCACGGCATTTCTGGAACCGGTCATGGAGTCAGGGCATTTCTGGACCCGGTCACGGAGTCAGGGCATTTCTGGACCTGGTCACTGAGTCAGGGCGTTTCTGGACACGGTCACTGAGTCAGGGCATTTCTGGACACGGTCACTGAGTCAGGGCATTTCTGGACACGGTCACTGAGTGAGGGCGTTTCTCGACCAGGTCACGGAGTCAGGGTATTTCTGGAACTGGTCATGGAGTCGGGGCGTTTCTGGAACCAGTCACTGAGTCAGGGCGTTTCTGGACACGGTCACTGAGTCAGGGCATTTCTGGACACGGTCACTGAGTCAGGGCATTTCTGGACACGGTCACGGAGTCAGGGCGTTTCTCGACCAGGTCACGGAGTCAGGGTATTTCTGGAACTGGTCATGGAGTCAGGGCATTTCTGGACCCGGTCACTGAGTCAGGGCGTTTCTGGACCCGGTCACTGAGTCAGGGCGTTTCTGGACCCGGTCACTGAGTCAGGGCATTTCTGGACCCGGTCACTGAGTCAGGGCGTTTCTGGAACCGGTCACGGAGTCAGGGCATTTCTGGAACCGGTCACGGAGTCAGGGCATTTCTGGACCCGGTCACGGAGTCAGGGCATTTCTGGACCCGGTCACTGAGTCAGGGCGTTTCTGAAACCGGTCACGGAGTCAGGGCGTTTCTGGACCCGGTCACTGAGTCAGAGGGGATAGGTATCATGCTGCTTGTTCTAATCGGATTAGAGATCATTCTTCCTCATCCTGTTGCTGGTGTTTTATAGCAAACAAGCTTTCCTCTCTCCAGTCTTCCTTTAAATTCAGACGATGGGGTTCATCACAGCCCTGGGAGATTTCAAACTCTCCACAGGTTTCTAACCGTTCTACTGGGTTCCCTGAGAACTTTTCAAAGGTTTCTGGACTTTTAGAGCTGATGCTTTGGTTCCAGCTGATGCCAACCTTGGTGAAGAGCGAGGTGAAGACCTCCTGATGGCTGCTCATGTCGATCCCTCCGTACAGTCTCTCCATCTCCTCCTCATCGTCAGCCATGGAGTCTTCGAATGCATCACACTGGATGTTTAGGTCCACGTCCTCCGTGTCTCTGGAGATGGACAGCAAAAGGTCACAAACGGACTCAACACACAGATGGGCTGCTATCAGAGTGATGAAGAAAAACTCAGCTGACCTCAGTTTGGGGAGCATATCCAGGAGCTGTAGCCCTAAAACACAACAATGGTGCCTGGTTAAATCCTCTGATCCTGGACCTTATCTGACACCTTCTAAGATCATTGGACCAGAAAGGAACGGTCAGACATCTCAGTTTATCCGGACCAGTTCACAGCAACAACATAGAAACACCAGCTTACAACCCCCCAGCGTTTGTTCACCTGATTTATAACCATCCTGCTTTATAACCCAGCCTGATTTATAAACCACCCTGATTTATAAATCATCCTGATTTATAACCATCCTCCTTTATAAACCATCCTGATTTATAAACCAGCTTCATTTATAAACCAGCCTGATTTATAAACACCCCGATTTATAAACCATCCTGATTTATAAACACTGTGATTTATTAACCAGCTTCATTTATAAACCATCCTGATTTATAAACACCCTGATTTATAAACCTGCCTGATTTATAAACCATCCTGATTTATAAACAATCCTTATTTATAATAATAACAATTACATAATATATAATCAGGGTGTTTATAAATTATGCTGGGTTATAAATTATGCTGGGTTAAGCATGATTTATAACCCAGCATGATTTATAAAAACCCTGATTTATAAACCATCCTGCTTTATAAACCATCCTGATTTATAAACACCCTGATTTATAAAACCAGCCTGATTTATAAACCATCCTGCTTTATAAACCATCCTGATTTATAAACCAGCCTGATTTATAAACCAGCCTGATTTATAAACCATCCTGATTTATAAACTAGCCTGATTTGTAAACCAGCCTGATTAATAAACCAGCCTGATTTATAACCATCAGGCTTTATAACCCAGCCTGATTTATAAACACCCTGATTTATAAACCATCCTGATTTATAAACTTGCCTTATTTATAAACCAGCCGGATTTATAAACAATCCTTATTTATAATAATAACAATTATATAATATATAATCAGGGTGTTTATAAATTATGCTGGGTTATAAATCATGCTGGGTTCAGCATGATTTATAACCCAGCATGATTTATAAAAACCCTGATTTATAAACCATCCTGCTTTATAAACCATCCCAATTTATAAATGCCCTGACTTATAAAGCAGCCTGATTTATAACCATCCTGCTTTATAAACATCTTGATTTATAAACGCCCTGATTTATAAACCAGCCTAATTTATAACCATCCTGCTTTATACACCATCCTGATTTATAAACTCCCTGATTTATTAACCAGCTTGATTTATAAACCAGCCTGATTTATAAACACCCTGATGTATAAACCATCCTGATTTATAAACTAGCCTGATTTATAAACCAGCCTGATTAATAAACCAGCCTGATTTATAACCATCAGGCTTTATAACCCAGCCTGATTTATAAACACCCTGATTTATAAACCATCCTGATTTATAAACTTGCCTGATTTATAAACAATCCTTATTTATAATAATAACAATTATATAATATATAATCAGGGTGTTTATAAATTATGCTGGGTTATAAATCATGCTGGGTTCAGCATGATTTATAACCCAGCATGATTTATAAAAACCCTGATTTATAAACCATCCTGCTTTATAAATGCCCTGACTTATAAAGCAGCCTGATTTATAACCATCCTGCTTTATCAACATCTTGATTTATAAACGCCCTGATTTATAAACCAGCCTAATTTATAACCATCCTGTTTTATACACCATCCTGCTTTATACATCATCCTGATTTATAAACACCCTGATTTATCAACCAGCTTGATTTATAAACCAGCCTGATTTATAAACCAGCCTGATTTATAAACACCCTGATTTATAAAGCATCCTGCTTTATACACCATCCTGATTTATAAAAACCCTGATTTATAAACCATCCTGCTTTATCAACATCTTGATTTATAAACGCCCTGATTTATAAACCAGCCTAATTTATAACCATCCTGTTTTATACACCATCCTCATTTATAAACACCCTGATTTATTAACCATCAGGCTTTATAACCCAGCCTGATTTATAAACACCCTGATTTATAAACCATCCTGATTTATAAACTTGCCTGATTTATAAACAATCCTTATTTATAATAATAACAATTATATAATATATAATCAGGGTGTTTATAAATTATGCTGGGTTATAAATCATGCTGGGTTCAGCATGATTTATAACCCAGCATGATTTATAAAAACCCTGATTTATAAACCATCCTGCTTTATAAATGCCCTGACTTATAAAGCAGCCTGATTTATAACCATCCTGCTTTATCAACATCTTGATTTATAAACGCCCTGATTTATAAACCAGCCTAATTTATAACCATCCTGTTTTATACACCATCCTGCTTTATACACCATCCTGATTTATAAACACCCTGATTTATCAACCAGCTTGATTTATAAACCAGCCTGATTTATAAACCAGCCTGATTTATAAACACCCTGATTTATAAAGCATCCTGCTTTATACACCATCCTGATTTATAAAAACCCTGATTTATAAACCATCCTGCTTTATCAACATCTTGATTTATAAACGCCCTGATTTATAAACCAGCCTAATTTATAACCATCCTGTTTTATACACCATCCTCATTTATAAACACCCTGATTTATTAACCAGCTTGATTTATAAACCATCCTGATTTATAAACTTGCCTGATTTATAAACAATCCTTATTTATAATAATAACAATTATATAATATATAATCAGGGTGTTTATAAATTATGCTGGGTTATAAATCATGCTGAGTTCAGCATGATTTATAACCCAGCATGATTTATAAAAACCCTGATTTATAAACCATCCTGCTTTATAAATGCCCTGACTTATAAAGCAGCCTGATTTATAACCATCCTGCTTTATCAACATCTTGATTTATAAACGCCCTGATTTATAAACCAGCCTAATTTATAACCATCCTGTTTTATACACCATCCTCATTTATAAACACCCTGATTTATTAACCAGCTTGATTTATAAACCAGCCTGATTTATAACTCAACATATATATATATATATATATATATATATATATATATATATATATATATATATATATATATATATATTTATATATATAAATATATATATGATTAGAGAGGAAAGGTTGAAATATGGACAGACTTTGATTCTGGCTTCCAGCTCCCCGTCATCCTCTGTGAGCCGAGCTGTCAGCATAGATCATTGCGTTTTGGATCTGATCCAATAGATCTATGATCAAGTTTCATATGAAGGGACATGAAGTAATGCTGCTATCTGGGTTCAGGTCCCCTCAGTCACCATCTGGGTCACCAGAACCTCCTGACCCGTACTGGTGGCTCAGGGTGGGCCTGAGGAACCAATAGGAAATTTGTTTTTAATCAATTCCAGCCTTTGCTGAAGGCTGATCAGGCCCGGTCCAAACATGTTCTGAATATTTTAGAGAACCCCTTGGAACTGGGAACTTTCTGCTTCTATGGTTCTAATTAACAACTGGATAAGAGTGGAACTGAACCGGACCAGAACCGGAGACATGATGGCGAGGACTGAATAAACCAGCAGATGAAACTAAACGGTTCAGAACTGAACTGGCTGACACTGACCAAAGGAAGCTGAGTGTGAGTGGGCTGCCGTCCATCTACAGGACGTCTGTGTGGGCAACTTTTGGTTCAAGTTCTTCATTGCTTCATCCTCTCCTCCATCCATGATGCTGGATGGTTCCCTTTGGGTTCATGTCTCCAATCACAGATTCTAGTTTTATGAGCGGCATAATAGAAACTGCCCTGAACATCAGCCGGCTCCCCTGACTGCTGGGACCCAGTTCCTGGTCCTGTAGCTCCAGTAGGAACCTGCTGGTGCTTCAGGCTGAGGAACCGTGGCTTTAAGCCAGGGAGGGTGCTGTTGGTTCTGCTCATACCAATGAACTCCTGTCTCAGCCGGTGTCTCTTGCGCAGGTCCTCATGTCCCAGTAGGAGAACGTTGATGGTTCCCATAAGCGTCACCATGTATGGGACGTTGTCGGTGGCCTGCAGCTCGTTCATGATGACGCTGAAGCGGTACTGCTGCTTCTTCAGGGTCTGGACATGGAGAGAGCACAGATCAGGTTCTGGCTGGAAGCCCAGAGGATCGGATTTATTTTTCAACTTCAGACTTTCCTAAATAAAAGCCTAGAAGCTTTTATCCAGATCTGCTATCAGGATCAGGCTGCTTCTGCCGGGGAATCAGGGCGGCTCAGAACACGCCTCATTTACAGAAATGCTCTGATTTCACATTCTTACAGTCAGAAGGACTGATTAGAAGCTGATAAGGAGCAGCTATGGCTTCCCTCCCTCATCCTGCATCCCTCGGAGCCAAAACAACCTTTCAGGGAATTTTAAAGACATTTTCTGAGGCAGAAAAAGAGAATTAGAAAGCAACTGAAAAACCACATTATGCCCTCATCAGGCTCACTGCTCTAATTCATTATCATCATGGACCAAACTCTCCACCCTGACAGAAAATGTCTTCATAGATCCATCAGATCTCTGCATCTGAGGTAGTCATGGAATCTGAACCGGGTTTAGACTGCTTTGATCCAGTTGAACTTTCTGAATTAGCAAAACTATTGTCTTCATCTAAGCCTTCAACTTGGATGTTAGATCCAGTTCCAACCAGGTTATTTAAGGAGGTATTCCCTTTGATCTCCTCCTCCATTTTAGATGTGATTAATCTATCTCTGTTACAGGGATATGTACCTAAAGCTTTTAAGGTTGCTGGAATTAAACCTCTGCTTAAGAAACCGTCTCTTGACCCAGATGACTTGGTCAATTATAGACCTATATCCAATCTTCCTTTCTGATCTAAAATTCTTGAGAAAGTAGTTGCCAAACAAGTTTGCGATCACTTCCACCATAATGAACTTTTTGAAGAGTTTCAGTCTGGCTTTAGAGCTCATCATAGCACTGAAACAGCTCTGGTGAAAGTCACTAATGATATTCTCATGGCCTCAGATAATGGACTTGTATCTGTGCTCGTCCTGTTGGATCTCAGTGCTGCATTTGATACAGTTGATCAGAATATTCTTTTAGAAAGACTTGAATATTTTGTTGGAATTAAAGGAACGGCTCTAGACTGGTTTAAATCTGATCTATCTGATCGATTTCAGTTTGTTCACGTTAATGATAGATCTTCCTCATGCTCAAAGGTTACCTGTGGAGTACCACAGGGATAAGTGCTAGGACCAATTCTCTTTACTTTATATATGCTCCCAATGATCTCTGGAATGATGTAGAATACTGGGACCTGGTTTATAGGAACAGAAGGACTCTGTGGAGGAAGCTGCTGTTCCACATCTGATCAGAAGATACGGAAAAAGTGAAACCACAAACAAAGATGGAGGAAATCTATGTAGAAAAAAGCAGGACAGAGGATGTAGAGAATTTAGAGCCGTGAACCTTGTAGTGCTCCAAGGCGTCCACCGTCAGGTTGCATCCCTCATGGTCGAAAAGCGCCAGCGCCGCGAGCAACTCAAACACCTGCATCTTCACCATCACGTTGGATGTATCCAGAGCTGCAGGACGAAACATTGACAGGATGTGAGGAAGATACAGGAGCTCATCCACCACGGGACGTTCTGCTCTGGAATGGGGCAGCTTAGAGCGCCTGTCCCGAGGCTGTGACCCAGACTGGGTCACCTGGAACCACAGAAGGTTTTTAACCCGTGGGTACAAACGTTAACCGGACCAGAACCGCACATACAGTCAGAACCGCACATACAGTCAGAACCTCAGATATAGTCAGAACCTCAGATACAGTCAGAACCCTCAGATACAGTCAGAACCTCACATACAGTCAGAACCTCAGATATAGTCAGAACCTCAGATACAGTCAGAACCTCAGATACAGTCAGAACCTCAGATATAGTCAGAACCTCACATACAGTCAGAACCACACATACAGTCAGAACCTCAGATATAGTCAGAACCTCAGATACAGTCAGAACCTCAGATACAGTCAGAACCTCAGATACAGTCAGAACCTCAGATACAGTCAGAACCTCAGATACAGTCAGAACCTCAGATACAGTCAGAACCTCAGATATAGTCAGAACCTCACATACAGTCAGAACCACACATACAGTCAGAACCTCAGATATAGTCAGAACCTCAGATACAGTCAGAACCTCAGATACAGTCAGAACCTCAGATATAGTCAGAACCTCAGATATAGTCAGAACCTCACATACAGTCAGAACCTCACATACAGTCAGAACCTCAGATATAGTCAGAACCTCAGACACAGTCAGAACCTCAGATACAGTCAGAACCTCACACCGCACATATAGTCAGAACCTCAGATATAGTCAGAACCTCAGATATAGTCAGAACCTCAGATATAGTCAGAACCTCACATACAGTCAGAACCTCACATACAGTCAGAACCTCAGATATAGTCAGAACCTCAGACACAGTCAGAACCTCAGATACAGTCAGAACCTCACACCGCACATACAGTCAGAACCGCACATACAGTCAGAACCTCAGATATAGTCAGAACCTCAGATATAGTCAGAACCTCAGATACAGTCAGAACCTCACATATAGTCAGAACCGCACACCTCACATACAGTCAGAACCGCACATACAGTCAGAACCGGTCAGAACCGCACATACAGTCAGAACCGCACATACAGTCAGAACCACACATACAGTCAAAACCACACATACAGTCAGAACCGCACATACAGTCAGAACCTCAGATATAGTCAGAACCTCAGATATAGTCAGAACCTCAGATATAGTCAGAACCTCACATACAGTCAGAACCTCACATACAGTCAGAACCGCACATACAGTCAGAACCGCACATACAGTCAGAACCTCAGATACAGTCAGAACCTCAGATATAGTCAGAACCTCACACACAGTCAGAACCTCACATACAGTCAGAACCTCAGATATAGTCAGAACCTCAGATATAGTCAGAACCTCACATACAGTCAGAACTACACATACAGTCAGAACCGCACATACAGTCAGAACCTCACATACAGTCAGAACCTCAGATATAGTCAGAACCTCAGATATAGTCAGAACCTCACATACAGTCAGAACCGCAATACAGTCAGAACCACACATACAGTCAGAACCGCACATACAGTCAGAACCTCAGATACAGTCAGAACCTCAGATATAGTCAGAACCTCACATACAGTCAGAACCTCACATACAGTCAGAACCGCACATACAGTCAGAACCTCAGATATAGTCAGAACCTCAGATACAGTCAGAACCTCAGATACAGTCAGAACCTCACATATAGTCAGAACCGCACACCTCACATACAGTCAGAACCTCACATACAGTCAGAACCTCACATATAGTCACGACCTCACATACAGTCAGAACTGCACACCGCACATACAGTCAGAACCTCAGATATAGTCAGAACCTCAGATATAGTCAGAACCTCACATATAGTCAGAACCTCACATACAGTCAGAACCGCACACCGCACATACAGTCAGAACCGCACATACAGTCAGAACCTAACATATAGTCAGAACCTCATATATAGTCAGAACCGCACACCTCACATACAGTCAGAACCTCACATATAGTCAGGACCTCAGATACAGTCAGAACTGCACACCGCACATACAGTCAGAACCACACATATAGTCAGAACCTCAGATACAGTCAGAACCACACATAGTCAGAACCTCACATACAGTCAGAACCTCACATATAGTCAGAACCGCACACCTCACATACAGTCAGAACCTCACATATAGTCAGAACCTCACATACAGTCAGAACCGCACATACAGTCAGAACCGCACATACAGTCAGAACCTCAGATACAGTCAGAACCTCAGATATAGTCAGAACCTCACATACAGTCAGAACCTCACATACAGTCAGAACCGCACATACAGTCAGAACCTCAGATATAGTCAGAACCTCAGATACAGTCAGAACCTCAGATACAGTCAGAACCTCACATATAGTCAGAACCGCACACCTCACATACAGTCAGAACCTCACATACAGTCAGAACCTCACATATAGTCAGGACCTCACATACAGTCAGAACTGCACACCGCACATACAGTCAGAACCTCAGATATAGTCAGAACCTCAGATATAGTCAGAACCTCATATATAGTCAGAACCTCACATACAGTCAGAACCGCACACCGCACATACAGTCAGAACCGCACATACAGTCAGAACCTAACATATAGTCAGAACCTCATATATAGTCAGAACCGCACACCTCACATACAGTCAGAACCTCACATATAGTCAGGACCTCAGATACAGTCAGAACTGCACACCGCACATACAGTCAGAACCACACATATAGTCAGAACCTCAGATACAGTCAGAACCACACATATAGTCAGAACCTCACATACAGTCAGAACCTCACATATAGTCAGAACCGCACACCTCACATACAGTCAGAACCTCACATATAGTCAGAACCTCACATACAGTCAGAACCGCACATACAGTCAGAACCGCACATACAGTCAGAACCTAACATATAGTCAGAACCCCACATATAGTCAGAACCGCACACTTCACATACAGTCAGAACCTCATATATAGTCAGAACCGCACACCTCACATACAGTCAGAACCGCACACCGCACATGCAGTCAGAACCGCACATACAGTCAGAACCGCACACCTCACAAACAGTCAGAACCGCACATACAGTCAGAACCACACATACAGTCAGAACCACACGTACAGTCAAAACCACACATACAGTCAGAACCACACATACAGTCAGAACCTCACATACAGTCAGAACCGCACATACAGTCAGAACCTCAGATATAGTCAGAATCTCAGATATAGTCAGAACCTCACATACAGTCAGAACCGCACACCTCACAGTCAGAACCGCACATACAGTCAGAACCGCACACCTCACAAACAGTCAGAACCGCACATACAGTCAGAACCACACATACAGTCAGAACCACACGTACAGTCAAAACCACACATACAGTCAGAACCACACATACAGTCAGAACCTCACATACAGTCAGAACCGCACATACAGTCAGAACCTCAGATATAGTCAGAATCTCAGATATAGTCAGAACCTCACATACAGTCAGAACCGCACATACAGTCAGAACCGCACATACAGACAGAACCTCAGATACAGTCAGAACCTCAGATATAGTCAGAACCTCACATACAGTCAGAACCTCACATACAGTCAGAACCTCAGATATAGTCAGAACCTCAGATATAGTCAGAACCTCACATACAGTCAGAACCGCACACCTCACAGTCAGAACCGCACATACAGTCAGAACCTCACATACAGTCAGAACCACACATACAGTCAGAACCACACATGCAGTCAGAACCTCAGATATAGTCAGAACCTCAGATATAGTCAGAACAGCACATACAGTCAGAACCGCACATACAGTCAGAACCTCACATACAGTCAGAACCGCACATACAGTCAGAACCGCACATACAGTCAGAACCACACATACAGTCAGAACGGCACATACAGTCAGAACCTCAGATATAGTCAGAACCTCACATACAGTCAGAACCGCACACCTCACATACAGTCAGAACCGCACATACAGTCAGAACCACACATACAGTCAGAACCTCACACCTCACATACAGTCAGAACCGCACATACAGTCAGAACCGCACATACAGTCAGAATCACACATACAGTCAGAACTGCACATACAGTCAGAACCTCAGATATAGTCAGAACCGCACATACAGTCAGAACCGCACATACAGTCAGAACCACACATACAGTCAGAACCTCACATACAGTCAGAACCGCACACCTCACATACAGTCAGAACCGCACATACAGTCAGAACCGCACATACAGTCAGAACCTCAGATATAGTCAGAACCGCACATACAGTCAGAACCTCATATATAGTCAGAACCGCACACCTCACATACAGTCAGAACCGCACACCGCACATGCAGTCAGAACCACACATACAGTCAGAACCTCACATACAGTCAGAACCTCACATATAGTCAGGACCTCACATACAGTCAGAACTGCACACCGCACATACAGTCAGAACCACACATACAGTCAGAACCTCAGATATAGTCAGAACCTCAGATACAGTCAGAACCACACACTTCACATACAGTCAGAACCTCATATATAGTCAGAACCGCACACCTCACATACAGTCAGAACCGCACACCGCACATGCAGTCAGAACCGCACATACAGTCAGAACCGCACACCTCACATACAGTCAGAACCGCACATACAGTCAGAACCGCACATACAGTCAGAACCGGTCAGAACCGCACATACAGTCAGAACAGCACATACAGTCAGAACAGCACATACAGTCAGAACCACACATACAGTCAGAACCACACATACAGTCAGAACCGGTCAGAACCGCACATACAGTCAGAACAGCACATACAGTCAGAACCACACATACAGTCAGAACCACACGTACAGTCAAAACCACACATACAGTCAGAACCTCAGATATAGTCAGAACCTCACATACAGTCAGAACCTCAGATATAGTCAGAACCTCACATACAGTCAGAACCTCACATACAGTCAGAACCTCACCTACAGTCAGAACCTCAGATACAGTCAGAACCGCTGCGGCCCAGCAGCAGAGGAATGTGGCTGAGCTGCAGAGAGAAAGAGATCCTATTGGACCGGTTCTGGAGGCCCTACAGAGCACAGAACCTACCCAGGGCCAGGGTCCGGATGTAGCCCTCGTTGTCTAGGATGAAGTTCAGACCTGCAGACGAGTTCATGACGGCGCGGACACAGGAAACACAGGTGAGCTGCAGCAGGGCGTCAGCCATGCGAGTGCATCCGCGTCCCGACAGCCGCTCAAGCGCCTCCATCAGCAGGTCCAGACCACGCAGCTCCAGGAACTGGACCATCCAGGAGCCGTCACTGCTCTCTAGACGGCGCCTTAACCCAGAGTAGTTGATCACCGTAGGGACCTGGAAGAGACACAGTGAGTGAAGTCCGTCCATCGGCACTCTGTTCCTAAGGAATCAGGTCGGGGTACCTGCAGCAGGAGGATACACAGTTCCGGGTTGGCGTTCTCCAGGTTTGCCTCCAGCGCACCGTCTGGATCGTCGCCGGGGCTCCTGGTTAGATGCTCCTTCACTGCCTCCCATTTGGTTCTGGATGCCATTATGATGGTAATCTGCAGAGACAGAGCAAAGCGGGTTATGGACCTGAGGCCGAAACATCTCAGGTGATATCAGCTGGAGAACATCGGACGACAAAAGCAAGAAATCTACGACCACCATTTCGGCTCCAGTAACCCAAAATCTGGAGGCTGATCTGGCTCTGGTTCCACAGAGCCCCTCCAGACGTTCTGAGGAGCCACATCAAGCCCTGCTGCAGCCCGGCTCTAACAAAGCTGCAGCGGTTCAGAACCACAGAAACCTTCAAATGAGGATGAACCCGGCCTGAAGAACTGGGCCGTCCTCCTTCTCCCCCCTGCGGAGGTACCACCAGTCGCTGATTGGATTAGGACCTGGGGGGGGGGGGGGGGGGAGGTGGTGTGGGGGGAGAGCAGCGTAGATCAGGAACCCCAGAACCAGAACAGCGGGTCTATGGGTTCTAAAGGAAGCCGTCATCCTCCCCGAGGGGCCAGCTTGGCCTTCCTGTTATCTGCACCAAGTCTGGCTCTCTCTGCATCAATCAGCCTCAGAACCAACGTAGAAACGCAGGGACCCTGAGCCGAGAGAGGAAACCAGGAGGAACACCTGGACCCTGGCTGCTTCACTCAGTCTGAACCTGAAGTTCAGCTCTGAGGACTGAAACAGAAACAAATGGAAGGCAGAGTCCTGATGAGCAGCTGCCTGTCGGCCCAAAGGTTTCACAACTTCCTCTAACACTAAGATGAGAGATACAGAATTCCCCGGAGCGTCTGACATTCCCAGTGTAACCACGCCCGGTAGTGAAAGGGCCTCCGTACAGGTTCATTACCGCTGCTGCCTGACAGAGATACATCTGAAACATTCAGAGGAACAAACTCTGAGCTACAACAGATCCATTTATTTATGCTTTTTAAACCAAGTGGAAAAAATTAGTTTGTTGGGTTCTGGTTCTGGATCAGCTGCTAAAACCCTGAGAGGTTCATATCTGAAGATCAAGTGATGGTAGAGCTTCGGCCCTCAGGGCCCCTCAGGGCCGTCAAAGACACTTCCAGGGAAACGAAGGTTTCTGCACAGATTTGTTGAAAAGGTTGTGAAATCCTGGATTCCTCAGAGCTGAGGTGTGTGGAGGGGGGGGGGGGGGGGGGGGGGGGGGGCGCTGCATCAGATCTGCTGACGCAGCGCTGGATGGGTCCATTAGTCATCAATGGACAGACTTTAACTTCAGGGTCCAACCAGAGGTCCACCAGTCTGTCCACCGCGGTCAGTCCACCACAGCCTGTCCACCACAATCTGTCCACCACAGTCTGTCCACCGCGGCCTGTCCACCACAATCTGTCCACCACAGTCTGTCCACCGCGGCCTGTCCACCACAATCTGTCCACCAGTCTGTCCACCGCGGCCTGTCCACCACAGTCTGTCCACCGCGGCCTGTCCACCACAATCTGTCCACCGCGGCCTGTCCACCACAATCTGTCCACCACAGCCTGTCCACCGCAGCCTTTAAACCACAGTCTGTCCACCGCAGTCTGTCCACCAGTCTGTCCATCACGGCCTCTCCTCCCCTGTTTGTCCATCACTGTCCCCCACACCTTGTTTCCTGTCCTGATCTTCCCTAACTGGACAGACATGGGGTCAAACTAAGGACAGATCTAAAGTCCATGTTTAACTGATCGGTTGATTGATCTGAAGACAGAGTCCAACTGGAGACAAAGAAGCTGAACAGTTTGGTTCCGATGGACCCAGCAGCTTAGAGGGAACCTTACCTGGACGCTCAGGTGGATCCGTTCAGGTTCGGCCCACAAACCGTTAAAACGGTTAAAATTAGAAACAAACGGACAGAAAGTTCGATCCGAACCGAACCAGCAGGTTTTGGTCCAAAGACTCCAGCAGCTGCTCCCTGCGGTCAGCTGGCTCCACTTTGCCCAAAAGAACCGATCCGAACCAACTAGACTCGGTTGCGTCCTGCGCGGAATGAAGCCGGTCTGTGGAAACTGTAGTGAGTTTACCTGAGTGGGCGTGGCCTCAGCTACGCGTGGCTGCTTCCACGGGACACGATGTGACAGCAGGACACGCAGTCAGTCAATAGATCCGATCGAAGCAAAGAGAACAGAAGTTTGCAGAGAAACAGGAAGGTTTGATCTCAGTCTGCATTTATTGGCTGGAAAGTTAAATTTTTAATTTTATATTAATAGACTGTGTGATTTTTCAACCCTGGTCCTGAAGCTTCCTGCTCTGCGTGTTTTAGATGTTTCACACACCTGTTATCAACAGATTATCAGGCTTTGCTGAACAGCAATCATCTGAATCAGGTTTGCTGAAGCTCAGAAACATCCAGAACACGCAGAGCTTCAGGACCAGGATGGAAAAACACTGTGATAAACAATCAATAACATTCTTCCAGTGGAATTCTCTCCACTTTAGTGAATTTGTAGAAGTCTGAAGCATCTCACAGATTTTAAACCATTCTTCATTTGAAATTGTGACCTTTGTTTCTGTGACATGCAGGGTTGTATTTTTTTACATGACATTAGGCTGGTGTTCAGCTGTGGGTTTATATGGACCAAACAATGTCTCCTGAACCGCATTAGGATCACTTCAACTTTTCTTTATTATAATATTCTCTTAGTTGTATGAATTAAAAGAAATCTCTATTATCAAGTCCGAATTTGAGTTTAAGATACTGAAAACTCCTCATATTTCTGTTATAAATTGATTTACATAGGGCTGTAAGCAGGGGCGGATTTAGGAAATTTGGGGCCCTAGGCAGGAACAGGCATGGGACCCTCTGAATTGACCCATTATAGAGATAGAGAAATGTTAATAGAATAGACATCCATTATCTGTTCTAGGTTGTGTCCCTCTCTTCTTGTCCCTTTTCTTCTTGTTTTCCTCTCTATGTTTTGTACTCAGCTGACTTTTCATGCTGTCTCTAAAGGAATGAAAGATTTTTTCCAAGCACTAAGCTCACTTAGCTGATTGCTCCTTCCTGTGTTTCCAAAAAGGCCAAAGTAAATAACCCAGTCCTTCTTTTCACTGTAGACAAGCCATGATCTGCTTATCTGTTCTCCATTTTTCATTTGGATGAAATAATAGCTGCATGAATCATGACAGCAGACAAGATAGAGGAGAGCAGGAGGCGGGGTTACCAATCTACTCGCTCTGGAGAGCAGAGTTCGCTGCTTTTAGATGTTGTCTCCAAAGTCTCCAGTAGCAGAAAAAAGTCTCTAGATTTGGCGCCAGGAGCTTTTTAGAAATCAAAGTGCTAGAGGGGTCTGAAAAGTGGCTAAATATAGCGACTAAAGCGCTAAGTTGGCAACACTGCTCTTTGCATGGTTTGTTTTCAAATGGTTTGCTGCTGTCTGTTTGGACCTTTCTGAACATGTGCAGCAAATGGACTGATCCAATATGGTGGACACTGAAGGGGGGATCCAATATTGAAATGTTGGGTCTTTCTCATGACCTTCTCATCCTAATATTTTTTTTTCTTTTTTCAGCTTTAATTGTTTTGCTACTTTAGACCAAATTTCCATTGTGAATTGATCAATCAGGTCGACTAACTTATTAAATCGGTTGGTATAGTTTTCTGCTCAATCTCTTTCCATCTGGCAAAATATCCAGGATCCAGGAAGTAACACAGCTGAGCTGCATAGAAATACATTTTTAGATTAGGAAGCCCTGCCACCAACTGCAGTGTGAAACACCTCCCTCTGGCCCAAAGGAACCTGCTAACAGCTTTTCCCACTCTGGGAATTCTGCTCTATATTGATTGGGAGGGATTGAAATAAGAAGAGCAGGATGTCGATTTTTACTACATGTATTCTATCATTCCAGCGGATAAGTAGGCAGGGTTCCTACAGCATAAGGCAAGTTAAATTCAAGACTTTTTAAGGACCCGCAGGAACCCTGGTAGACTCTCTGTATGTCTTTTCTAATATTTTGGTTTATTGGATTGTAGTTAAAATGATATAGTTGTGAAAGGTCTTTAGACAGAAATACTCCGAGGTATTTCATTTTATTCCTTTTTATATCATGTTTACGTGCAGTTTCGTTTGAGGGGCCATGATTGAAAGGTAGTATTTTAGAAATATTGAACTTGTATCCAGCATGTACGTTATAATTACTAATATGATAAACCAGTTAGGGAAGGGAAGTGTTAATATCTCCTAGAAACAGCATCATATCGTCTGCAAATAATCCAATCTTTTGTTCTCTTTCATTTATCATAATCCCCTTTGAATCCTCTTCTGCCAAATCGCCTGAGTTCAAATCGGTCCGTCAGGAAGCCATTCACTTTTTATCTTGCGGTTGGTTTATCATAGATTGCTCTAATACGAGCATATAAACATTTTAAGACCAACTTGATCATAAAGAACAATAGTTATAGATTTGACTAACTGCTGCGTCTGTTATCCGACTGGTGCAACAAATACTGTTATAACTTTCCATATATTGTTGTTAGAATAACAGAAGGAGCTCAAATTCAACTTTGTTCTCAATCTGCAGATTTACTAGTGGTTCCTAGAATTTCCAAAAGTAGAATGGGAGGCAGATCTTTTAGTTCTCAGGCTCCTCTCCTGTGGAACCAACTACCAGTTTTAGTCCGTGAGGCAGACACCCTGTCTACTTTAAGGCTAGGCTTAAAACTTTCCTTTTTGATAAAGCTTCTAGTTAGAGTGGCTCAGGTTATCCTGATCTATCTCTATAGTTCTGCTGCTGGAGGACATAGGGACCCCTTTTTCATCATTCTGCTTCATTCTATCTCTATTCTCCCACTCTGCAGAATCTGTTAGTTCAATCTCTAACGTTCTGCTCTCTCTGCTTTTTCTCATAGTAGCTTCATCTGGTCTGTTCCTGTTTGGCTGTGACTCCATCCTGGAGAGAAATATCAGCTGTGCTGCTGCCATCAACACCTTTGTTTCTAGATGCTGGAGCTTGGCCTGTTTTCCAGTGTAGTCCTGTTTCTCTGACTGTGACTAACTGGATGTGCTCTCTTCATCCTCTGACATGGGAGCTGGCTCGGAGCTCGTCTGCCTGGCTGTGTGTTTCCTGGACGGGGCCGCCTGTGGAGCTGGTTGACAGTTGCCTTTTGTATCTATGCTTCTTTTTCTATGTCTGCTTCTGTCTCCTTGAACCCCAGTGGGCCTCAGCAGATGGCCGCTCACACTGAGCCTGGTTCTGCTGGAGGTTTCTTCCTGTTCAAAGGGAGTTTTTCCTCTCCACTGTCGCTACAAGCATGCTTAGTGTGAGGGATTGCTGAAGAGTCAATGAGTCGATGCAATCAGCTGGTTTTCCTTAGATAGAAAACTTTGAATCAATCTGACTGGATGATCTGGTGAACTGGAAAGTGCCTTGAAATGATATGTGTTGTGAACTGGCGCTATAGAAATAAATTAAATAGAATTGAACTAAAACTTTTGGTCAAATGAATAAATCTGCATATGTGGAATAAATTCACAACTTCAATTCAAAGTATAACAAGCAAAGTTAAACTAACCCAGGACAGCCTGAGCCACACTAACTATAAGCTTTATTGAAAAGGAAACCTGGATCTAACATCCAGTTAAAGGCTTAGATGAAGACAATAGTTTTCATGGCCCTCGGTAGGTTCCTGGCTCCCTGCGTGTTAAAGGGCGACTCGTGGCCCTCGGTAGGTTCCCAGCTCCATGCGTGTTAAAGGGCGACTCGTGGCCCTCGGTAGGTTCCCAGCTCCATGCGTGTTAAAGGGCGACTCGTGGCCCTTGGAGGGTTCCTGGCTCCCTGCGTGTTAAAGAGCGACTCGCGGCCCTCGGTGGGTTCCCGGCTCCCTGCGTGTTAAAGGGCGACTCGCGGCCCTCGGTAGGTTCCCGGCTCCCTGCGTGTTAAAGGGCGACTCGTGGCCCTCGGTGGGTTCCTGGCTCCATGCGTGTAAAAGGGCGACTCGTGGCCCTCGGTGGGTTCCTGGCTCCATGCGTGTAAAAGGGCGACTCGTGGCCCTCGGTAGGTTCCTGGCTCCCTGCGTGTTAAAGGGCGACTCGTGGCCCTCGGTGGGTTCCTGGCTCCATGCGTGTAAAAGGGCGACTCGTGGCCCTCGGTAGGTTCCTGGCTCCCTGCGTGTTAAAGGGCGACTCGTGGCCCTCGGTGGGTTCCTGGCTCCATGCGTGTAAAAGGGCGACTCGTGGCCCTCGGTAGGTTCCTGGCTCCCTGCGTGTTAAAGGGCGACTCGTGGCCCTCGGTGGGTTCCTGGCTCCCTGCGTGTTAAAGGGCGACTCGTGGCCCTCGGTAGGTTCCTGGCTCCCTGCGTGTTAAAGGGCGACTCGTGGCCCTCGGTAGGTTCCTGGCTCCCTGCGTGTTAAAGGGCGACTCGTGGCCCTCGGTGGGTTCCTGGCTCCATGCGTGTAAAAGGGCGACTCGTGGCCCTCGGTAGGTTCCTGGCTCCCTGCGTGTTAAAGGGCGACTCGTGGCCCTCGGTGGGTTCCTGGCTCCATGCGTGTAAAAGGGCGACTCGTGGCCCTCGGTAGGTTCCTGGCTCCCTGCGTGTTAAAGGGCGACTCGTGGCCCTCGGTGGGTTCCTGGCTCCCTGCGTGTTAAAGGGCGACTCGTGGCCCTCGGTGGGTTCCTGGCTCCATGCGTGTTAAAGGGCGACTCGCGGCCCTCGGTAGGTTCCCGGCTCTCTGCGTGTTAAGGGGTGACTCCTTGACCTCGGTGGGTTCCTGGCTCCCTGCGTGTTAATGGGGGACTCGTGGCCCTCGGTAGATACCTTGCTCCCTGCGTGTTAATGGGGGACTCGCGGCCCTCGGTGGGTTCCTGGCTCCCTGCGTGTTAATGGGGGACTCGTGGCCCTCGGTAGGTACCTGGCTCCCTGCGTGTCAATGGGGGACTCGTGGCCCTCGGTAGGTACCTGGCTCCCTGCGTGTTAATGGGGGACTCGTGGCCCTCGGTAGGTACCTGGCTCCCTGCGTGTCAATGGGGGACTCGTGGCCCTCGGTAGGTACCTGGCTCCCTGCGTGTTAATGGGGGACTCGTGG